CTGTTGTGATCTTGAACACGGGTGTGTGGACGGACGGACGAGCGAGCCGCCGCCACCGGTCATGAAGCCATGAGGTCATAGAAAGTCTCGCGATCCGCCTGAGTTTCGGAGTGAGCGGACGAGAATAGCCAAGGCCAGAAATAGCGCATTGTGGCGTTCCCACAAGCCGGAGAGGGGGAGGAGGGATCGAGACGACGGCCTGCGCCTGGTCTACCTCTCACCGCTTGGCCTTGCTCAGCTTCTTCTTCTGCCCCTCCCTCTCCCGTTCCCTCTCCCTCTCCTTCTCGCGCGCCCTCTCCGCAAGGGCCCGCTCCTTCTCCTTCTCCCTCTCCCTCTCCCGCTCCTTCTCCCTGCTCGTGCTCGTGCTGAAGCTGAACAACGACCCGAGGCCGCCGCCGCTCTTCTTCTTCTCCTCAGGCACGACAACAACCCGGCCCTCCCACACCGCCGTCGCCCCGCCCTCAGCAGCAGCAGCAGCAGCAGCAGCGGCCCTGCGGCTCTCGCGGCCGAGCGACGACGCACCGCTGCCCGTGCTCACGTCCGCGCGCGAGCTCCTCGAGCGCACGACCCGCTCCGGCTCCCGCCCGTTCTCGCGCGCATTATTCTCCCGCCCGTTCTCCTTGTGCTTCCGCAGCACGTTCTTGCCCTGGCTCATCGGGATCTCCTGCGCCTGCGGCTTCGCGCCGCGCACAGGCACCGTCTGCCGGTGCTTCAGCGGCGCGCCGGATGCGCTCCCACTCCCCGCGTACCCGACCGGCGCGCCGCGCGGCGCAGTCTGTTGTGCTGCCGGTGCCGGTGGTGGCGGCGCGGGTGCCTGGCCCGGAAGCGGCTGCATCGGCTGCAGCGGCGTCGGCATCACGAGCTGCCTGGGCACGTACCGGTTGCTCGGCGGCATCTGGCTCCGGCCGGTCATGCTCGAGTGCATGCTCGGTGCACCGCCGCCGTGCATCGACGCGGACGGCGGCGGGATCGAATTTGCGGACTGGGGAGCGGGAGCGGGAGGCAGCTGGATGTCGGGCGTCGGTGGCGGCTCGTTCGAGAGGCCTTGCTGCGGGTACGGCTGAGACGAGCCGTTGGACGGCGCCGAGTTTGGTGTAGACCGCGAGCGCGAGAGCGTGCTCCGGCTGCTCTGCGGCTTGAGTTGCTGCTCGGGCGGGACGCCAGACTGCGGCTGGACCGGGTTGGGGTAGGGACGGTGCGGGATGTTGTGCTGGTGTTGTTGGTGCTGATGCATGTGCTGTTCGCGCTGCATCTGCATCGGTACGGGTACAGCCTGCGCTTGTCCACCGGAGCGATGCGTCGAACCATGCCCAGAAGCCGAGCTCGCAAAGCCCGAGCTGCCGCTCATGGAATGACCCTCGGAGAGCGTACTCGCGTACGCCGTACCCACGCCACTCAAATTTGGTCCGTTCATGGCCATCTCTTCCTTTTCACGCTGACGCCTCTTGCGACGGAGGTCCCGTTCGCTGTGCTGGCGCGCCATCTCACTTGGGGTCGGCGAGAACACCGGCGGAGGCGGCTCAGGACGTGCGGCGCCGGGGACCATGTGGTTGTTCACGTACGCCTGGCGCATGGTCGGCGAGAACGGTGCTTGCGGGGTCATCGGCGTCGCATGCGGTGGAGGTAGGTGTGTTGGTAGTGCAATGGGCGGGAAGATCTGCCCTGGCTTGACAGCGAAGGAAGTCGTGTTGGGGTCCACGGCGATTGGCTTGCGCCGACCCTGCCATCGTCACCCATGTAAGTTGGCAGCGACTTGTAAGATAAGATAGACACTTGCATTCATAGAACCATCACCACCGCCTGGCGCAGCCTGACCAGCCTGTGCAGCCTATCACAACCAGATCAGTTCATCATCGCGCGAGGCTCACATCGGACGGGCGAACTCACAAATATCTTGGGTTTTCCCCCTTCTCCGCCCTCAAACTCGGCATGGGCAATCTTCGCAACTTTGGGAATGACGTCGTAGGGTCCAGGCATGTGCCACGCGACGCCGAGCGGGTCCGACTCGTCGAGCTCGTCGATCTTGTCGAGGTCCTTCGGAGGCGTCGCGATGCTAGGCTTGCGCGAACGGCTCCTGACCATCGGGGGCGCGGAGGGTGTGGCGGAGGAAGGGTTGGCCATGGAGGACACGGTCGGGGCGGCAGCGGGCGGAGGGGCAGCGAGGGGTGCCGTAGCTGGACGCTCGGGACTGTCGCGCAGGGGCGGCACATGCAGCTCAGGGGCGGAGACGTTCCCTTGCGGCATCGGTGGCCGCTCGGCGCCCCTCGCCGCTTCTCGCTTCGCCCTCCTGGACGACGAGCTCGAGGCCGACGCTTGGGATGTAGAGGGCTGAATGGGGTCAAGGGTGATGCCATCGGGCGTGAGCGTCACCTGCACTGGGCCCGGGGCATATTCGATCTTGCTGTCGTGGCTCCTCGATGGACCTGCAGAGGCGACAGTCTCTGTAGGAGTCGGGAGCGGGGTGTATGCGGGAGGGGCCTCGTGTTCTTGTCGGTGCGCGTGCGCGTGCTCTTCACGAGCCATGGCGGCTTCTTTAGACTTCTTCCCTCGCAGGCTCTTGTCGTCTGCATAGCCCTTCTCGCCGAGTGAGCCAGCGAAGGACGCGTTCGGGTCAAAGTGTCCGTGCGCGGACGGCGGCGTGTGCGGCCCTTCGCTCGACGAGGTGATACTCGACGCGGACGTCTCCGGCGAGTGCTGCGGCATAAAAATGGCGTATGGGTCCGGGTTTGCGACGCGCAGACTCGACCTCGACTTGGACGACTTGATGGAGACGTCGCCGCTTTGCGCCCGCGCAAAGGATGACGCAGAGGAAGACTTGTGGGACGAATGTGAAGTGTTCGCGCCGGAAGCGAGTGATGTCTGGCTGGCGTGTTTCCTGTCCTTGTCCGCGTGCCTCGCCTTTCGCGGTTTGCCGCTTGAATGCTCTTCCGGATAGGGATCCTGGGCCTCGACGTACTTGCTGTAGTACGACTGGCGCGTCGTCGGGGACGGCTCGGGCGGGGCGACTCGCTCCTCGCCATCGTCATATGCGAGATGGACACTCGAGGCGTCGGCAGAAGCACGCGGGTCCATGTGGTAACTGCCATTGGGGGAAGGGAAGGATGCGGCGAAGGCGTAGAAAGAGTCGACCTCGGATGGAGGGCGGCTATGTTCACTGCCTGCGCTCGGATAGAGGTGAATCGACGGTGCATAGTACTGGGAA